AAAGATGGAGAGAGGCTTTTTATCAAGGCCTGCAGTGACAGGACAAAGGACAATGGTTTTAAACTGAAAGAGGGTAGGTTTAGATTGGACATAAGGAAGAAATTCTTTACGATGAGGGTGGTGAGACAGGTTGCCCAGAGGAGTTGTGGATGCCCCATCCTTAGAAGTGTTCAAGGTCAGGTTGGATGCGGCTTTGAGCAACCTCATCTAGTGGAAGATGTCCCTGCCCACAGCAGGGGGGTTGGACTAGATGATCTTTGAAGGTCCCTTCCAACCCAAACCTTCTATGATTCTGTGGTTCTGTGGATGCAGGTTGCTCATTTACGGCGAGGATGGGCAGTGTACGCTGAAGTCTCCTTTAGAGGAAGCAGACAAATGGGGAAGAGATCTTTGAATTGGGACTTCCCCCCTAAAACTTGCCATAGGTGCCTTTGCCGTGGGGTTTTAATGTCGCTTTGTCCCTCGTGCGTGGTCCTCTGGTGCCGACCTACAGGGTTTTGCAAGGCTTTTTCTGGTGGCTCGTGGGAAGGAAGAGCCGGAGCTGGTTTGCATCTGGGGCTGGGTATGAGCGCCCTGAATTTCAAATACCGAAGCAAATGAAAGAGAATAACAAATCTAATCCTTGAACGAGCCCAAATAAAACCTTCCCCCCTATCGCTGCCCATTCAATTCTTTAATTCTCCATACCCTGCTGCTAGCCTTTCCTCCGAGGGCAGCCCTTTGCCTGCTGACATCTCTGAGTTTTTTCTCCTGCCCTCTCATTTCTCCCCGGTAATTCAGCATTTTTTGCTGTACTGACATACAGAACAAGCACAGCGGCCACGTAGGAGCTCAGTGCCTCGGGACCAGAAATAAGCTATCCCAGAAGGCTGCCAGGATGGAAAGAGATGTCTTAAATGCCCCATCCAGCCATTTTTTGTCTCGTGCAAAGGAGGTCCGCGGTGAGCTTGTGTATACGGTTGCACACGCATCTGTCTTGCACGTAGGCAGTAAAATATATATAGCTGGGAATATAAGCTAACTGCTTTATTATGGGCGTTCTGAATATAATCACAAAGGAGCCTGGGCTAAACAAAGCTGGTGGTTAAATGCACTTGAAGGCTCTGTATGCCACTCTTTTTTAATTTATTTCATGAACTCCTTTACTAGTGCGTCTCCTAAAGGTGTGCATGTTAAAAAGAGCGGGCGGGTAGCTGGGACTCGTAGCCTAAAAGCCATTAATCAAAAGCAGCGTTGCACCAAAGAGGACAGGGGTGAGCAGAGCTGGAAATAATGGTAGAGAAACGTTTAGAAATACATGAAAAATTAAAGGCGGCTTTAAAATACCTACTTGATGCAGCCCCGCGTGCTCTTTGCTTTGCACAGCCAGTTACTGCGTCGTAATTTTTAAAGCAGTTCCGTTAGTGCTTCTCAGAACTGGAGAGCTCTATATTTTCCTTGGGGAGAACATTAAACACTGGCTTTCTTACTCCTATTGATTGTGGAGATGATATTAAATTAAAATAAAGCAAGAAAACAACTTTTGATTTCTTCTGTGAGGAATCTAATAAATTTTGTTCAATACGTTTTCATCTCGTTTTCCTTCCTTCTGCATCGTTGCTGTAATAAGGCCCCAAGCCCCAGCAGAGACAGGGTCCCATCATGTGCGGTTCTGTACAAGTAGCAAGTAAAGGATATTTTCTTTCTGTCCCTGACATTTTCATGTCTCCAGCAGGAAGCCCATGAAGATTAGCAGCACTCAACATGAAACAAGTGGGTTTGGCCCACTTGCTGTTATTTTTGATTCAAGGTGAAGAGGCAAGACAGTCGTGGCAGGAGGGGAGCAGGGTCAGCAGGAGGAATAGGGATTTACAGGAGGTCTTGTAGGGTATCCAGGGGGAAAATCAGAGCAGGATGCCAGATGCTTTGGTGCTGCCACCTCTCCTGAGCTCATCCCTGGTTGTTGGATCTGGGCTTTGTCTTACACCCCGGGGGATGTATGACATGGGGACCACCATGGGGATTGCAGCTTTTGCTTTCCTGAGGAAGCTTGTCTGTGGACATTTGGGGGATGAGGAAGAGCCAACAAACGTAAATCCTAACGGCTCAAAAACCAATAAGGTATAAAAACGTCTCATGTATTTTTAAACCCAGTGGGTTTTGAGCACTGGGAATTTTCAAGCACGTTTCCCCTGGCACAAATTGCCCCAGATTCTGCTACTTTCTTATCTTTCAGTATGTCCAAAAAAGGAGCAAACCACATTAATTTTCCTGCACCTTTCCCATCTCCGCTTCCCCTTAAAATAGAAAGGACAAGTTTTCTTGCTGGAGGTCAGCACTTATCAAAGTTTATGAGATCAGAGTGGAAGATAGAGTAGAGCAGGGCTGCCTGCATCTTTTCGCATCCGAAGCTATTAAAGCTTCCTTGATAGAAACGGTATTTATCTGAAATGAAATTATTCTGAAAATGGCCATAACCTTCTTTCAGACCAAGAAAAGATACCACAGTAAGCAAGATGCAGTCCTACCAAGCAGAAATTAAACCCAAAAAAAGAGAAAAAAGACCTAAATATACAATTGTCTCCATCTACCTGAAATAACCGTGAAGTCTTTCAATAATTGGCTGGATGGAAAAGCTTACCCAAAGCCACAGTTTTCCTGTGGTCTGAAAGTGGTTTGATTTATTTCAGGCTTGTTTTTTACGTATAAAACTAATGTTGAAAATTTTGGTCCGAGTAGAAGAGAAGGGCTTTTTGCTGAATTTAATAGTGTGTGAGTGCTGGTGATATCTCAGAGGGCACAGATGAAACATTTCCTGCATGTAGCCACACAGGACTATGTTTGTCATGGTTATTGACTTAAGAACTATTAATTAAGGACTATTATTAAGGACTACTGTGGCAGTTCATGGGATTCAGGACTTCAGGATTTGGGGGGACTAACCAGCAGCAAAGACCAGAAGAACCTCTCGGTGCCCCAAGAGGCTATCATCTAGATCCCATCCCTAGCTGATGAGCAAGGAAGGGACTTCCCAACACCGTGGCACGCATGCACAACCGTCGGCTACTAAACTATGTGCCAAGGAGGTAAAACCCCGTATAGAAACAGGGTTGAGAGAATTATAGGGAAAATACGCTTGGTGTGGTCAAGAAGTGAGCTGGAGTTGGTTTAACATCCCTAGCCAGATTGGTCAGGAGGCAAAGTGGGTTCATCGAGCTCGAACAGGCAACGGGAGAACCCTGGAGCGATGAATGTACTGGAAAAGAAATGGTTATCTTCTAATGAAGCGGAGAGTAGGCAGGGATATTTCTGATTTAAGATCTTCATCATTAATGTTCTGCTTGCAATCACTGGATCTGCAAATAACTTTCCGAGGAGCTTCTTGATTGCTAAAAGGCTGTATATATTTCCTGAGTATGATGACAACATAGTTTTATGTAGCCTTAAAAAAAAAAAAAAAAAAAAAAAATCTGTTAAACTGCTGCTTATCCAACATTAACTACAGCAATTTTTAATTAACCTGATTTAGAAGCCAAATATATCACTGATGAAAATGAGAGGGTAGAACATACAGTCATTTATTCCAGTACAGTGGTCATGATTGTTGAATTAGATTTATTCAAATGAACCTCAAAATTTTGCTGCAGTAGTTGGCTGTGTGCCGGGTGCCAGATTTTAGAAATCTGCACGTAGTCGAAGAGCAGTGAGCTTTGGGGCAAGGGAGGGAGAGATTGCGATGTGTTTGTCTTGCTGCTCAGAAAGGGGGCGGAAAGACCCACGCTCGCTTTTATTTAATAAAGTAAAAAAAAAAAGATGGGGTGCGAATCGACTGCTAATTACCTCTTTCCAGCTTTTGCTGGCAACCAGCAGACAGCGTCAATGGAGCTTGGCGTGGACAGACTCTCCAAGGGTCATTTTGTCTGCCGTTGGGTTGGCTCTGCTCTGGGACGATGGCCAACGAGATGCACAGATAAACCAGGGCAGCGGCCGTGGCGGTGAAGCACAGCAAAGCCAAACTCTCTGCCAGCAAAGGAAGATTAACATGTCCCATTCGGTCTGTCGGAGGGATTTACGCAGGAGCACGTAAGAAGGGATGGAGTTATTCGAGTGTTACGGTTTTCAGTCGGGAAGACTTCCAAGAAATGGAATTAGGGGAGTAAACAAAAAGCAAAATGGAGCAGACCGAGGTGCGGAGGTTGTCATCTGTGGTCTTCATGGAGGACAAGAACTTCTAATGAAGTAAGAGTTTGGTGCAAGACATCTGCACTGTGTGTGGGTGCACATAGAGACTTGCTGACTGCTTAGATGATTTCTCCTGAACTCCCTATGACTGATCCGAGTGAAGATGATGAAAGTTGAAGATGCTCTGCAACCTTTTCTAAAGTGCCCATTAAAACCTCATGTGGCTTCAAAGGGTACGAGCTGCTGTGCGTGTTCCTTCCATGTGGCCTGGCAGGTAATCGGGTCTCTCCCAGGGATGGCAGTTGTGCAGCCATGAGTGAATATAAGGGCTGGCATGTTTTCATGCGACATCTCTACCTTCCCTTTAGCAAGAAGCTCTGGTTAATGGAGGTGCTGAGCACCGAGGACTCGGGCTGGGTGCTGTTAGAATGCAAAGTGCTACGATGATCAAGCTACGATGGCTGCAAGCAGCCAAGTAAAACCTTTCAAATATAGCTGTGCTGGTGGTTTTTCATAGCTGAATTCTGCATTCAGTGTGTGTATTTTCTCGGTAGTTTTCTTCAGAGCACATTGAACATTTCTGCATTCTGCATTCTGGTTATTGTCCTCTTTTTCCAGAGGAATAAAGATGAAATATTGATGATATCACATGTAAGTCTGTAGAGCACATTCATAGTCCTTCCTATACCCTGGCCAACTGAGAATACATCTGTGCTTTACCTCTCAGCTGTGCCGATGGCCTCTTTGCTCACACAAGTTGTTTATTGCTTTCCAGGGATGCTGTCCTCTTCTCTCTCCCACTTGACAAAAGCATAATTTCTCTTTTTTTCTCATTGCAGGTTATCCGACGGGCTATCCCACCGCTGCCCCAGCCTACAACCCAAACATGTATCCAACCAGCAGCCCTGGCTACGCCCCAGGTAAAAATCTGTGTGTGGAGACGAGATCGGGCATGTTGAAGCATGCAGGAGGATTTACATTGTGCTGCTCGGTGTATACAAAACCCAGCAGTTTCCCTGTGCTCGTCAGCAAATACTTTGCAGGGAAGGGGCCTGTGTTAAGCTCTTCCCTTCCTAACTCTGCCATTAACTTCACACCCTCCACTGGGAATATTTATCTATGTTGCAAAGTACTTTGGAGCCATGAATTATATCTTAATGCTAACCCTAGGAATTTTACAATCCTCATTGCTGTGATACCTGCGCATTGATGGCTTTTAATATTTTCTGAATACCGCATGCTGTCTCCCCGAGATTGCCTTCCCCTTCCCCCTGCTTGTCCTTCTCTCCTCCTTCCGTGTCATAGATGCAGAAATGTCAGCAACCGTGTCCTGTTTGGCGTTTGGATCTCCCGTGCCGTGCCTTTACTGTCCCCCACTTTCCTGTGGCACTGACGGACTCTGGGTCTGTCCTAGTGTCTTGTCTCCAGCTCCTGCCCTTCACACTGCCCTAAAATGGCTCTTCCAAAGATGCAGCAAGCTCTTCCTGGCCAAACTCAGGAACTCTTCTGCCTTAGCTTTGGTGTGCTGGTTATCTTTGACAGCCCCAGCTGCGCCCTTCTCCATAAAATCTTCTTTTCCCTTGGCTTTCCCAGTTTGGCCAGTTTTTTTCTACCTCTGCTGCAGCGTGTCCATTGGGATGTATTTGTCATCTGCCTCTTCAAGCTTTCCATGAAAGCTCAGCCAGGCTCTGTCCTTTATTCCCTTCTCTGCTACTCCCCATCTATCTCTGGGAAGCCTTACTTGGAGGTACAAGGTCTTCACTTTTCAGGGAGGTCTTCATTTTTCACACCAGCCACGTGCTCTTTTGCATCCTCCTGTGCAGTTCCTCTGAACCATCCTACCAGCCAGGCTGATGGGTAACATGTTCATCCTCTGTAGCTCAGCCCCTACCCTGGAGCCCTGCTCTCTCTGCTGTCTCCAACCTTGGCAAATTCTCCTCCATCCTTCTGGAGAGCTGGTACCAAAATCATTTTCCCAGCCCACTGCTTTAACTGTGTCATCCCCCTCTTTGCCTCCCTCTTTCTCATATCCAGCACAGGCAACTTGTCTTTATTTACAGAAGCAACGCCCACTCCATTAATTCTTGGTGTCCAGAGCCTTACTGCTCTTTCGGCTCAGCCAACGATGTCTGTCCTCTTCACCTCTTAACCTTTCCAAGCAAGTGTCTCCCTTGTTCCTTCTGCTCCTCTCACTGGAAGGCTTCCCCTTATCACCCACAAAGCCATTTCTCCTTTGAATTCCTCCATTAGCCATGATTTTTTTTGACAAAAACCTATGACTAGACTGCCAAGCTATGTTGAGCACCATCTCTCCACACCTTCCTTTTGTCTGGTTTCCACTGTTGTCTCTTGGCCAAACACGTTCCCAGCCCATGGCTCCAGTTACGCTGCTCTGTGGATGCAGAGAAGGGTCTGGATGGAGGAGGACACACACATGTCCAGGACCTTCCCACCTGGCTGGAGAGAGCTGGAGAGGAGAAAGCCATGTAAACATGTGGGTGGCATGAATACAAACCCAGTCATGCCCTGTCCATCACTTTGAGGTTGAAGCCTCATCTACGTGAGGTGGGGAGAGGGGGGAACTGCTTATAGCCAAGGGCTGCCAATGGCAGAAGATTCATGTAGATTAGGACAGAATGTAAATTAATCACGGGAGCTGCTCTCAAATAACTTCCAGCAAAGACACTTCTTATTCCAGAAGAAGTGGACCTTCCACTCTTTTAAGTCAGAGAAGTTGCTCCAAAGCAGGAGTCATGGAGTAATTCCCACCTGTCCACAAGGACTTGTCTTCAGCACAGCACGGACTAATGAGGTTCTGTGCTTAATGAGGAATATTTGAATTACTCTGCTAAATCAATCGCTTGCTTTTTTATGCTTTTGAGCCCAAACTTGGAAACCTTTCTAGAAGTCTTTTTCTTTCTGAAGACTTCTCTTAGGCCCTCACTTGGGAAATAATTTAACTGAAATCAAACCTACATTTAAGTACTTTACTGAAACCAGCCCTTTGGAAGGACCAAGCCACCTTGAGTTTTTAAAGCGCGGTTAAGTTCTCTGCTTTCAGCCAAATTACCTGGGGGATGGGAGCCTCTTGGCATGACAAAGGGTGATAAAAACCCAAGGGCTAAGTAGCAGTTTCGAAATGTAACTCTCATCCAGGGTGAATTAAGTGAAAGGTAGTAGAAGAAAAGGAAATCTCCTGTTCAATAGCAATCTTGAGATCTTGTTGCCCAGAGAAGTTGTGGATGCCCCATCATCGGAAGTGTTCAAAGTGAGGTTGGACGGGGCTCTGAGCAACCTGATCTAGTGGAAGATGTCCCTGCCCATGGCAGGGGGGTTGGACTAGATGATCTTTGAAGATCCCTTCCAACCCAAACCATTCTATGGTCAGAACATTATTTATTAGCTGTGGGTTTTTTAGGCTGTAGTGTGTTATCAGAGCGTTTTCTTTAAAGGCTACGGTCACATAGGTCAAATGCAAGAATTGGCAGTGTCTGAACTGTGATTGGAAAAGCATTTCTGAAATCGGGACTGAGTCTTTTTTCATGGTTTTTATGAAAAAGGCCTGAAAAAATCTCTTGCTCACCCATTTCCAAGCACACATTGGAAGATGAAAAATAATATCTCACCCTTCATTTTGACTTCATGGCTTTTCGGTTGGCTGAGAAGTTTATTCTGAATGCTTCGCCTCAAAAGAGCTGCGGGATTTTAAAACTTCTGAATAAAGCCGTCTTTTCAGCTAAGCGTTCAGTAGTCATCGGAGTGAAGTAGATGCTTGCGTAATGAACACAAAGCCGGACTTTGTGGCAGTCTTGCTAAATCCTTTCTCCTCTGAATTGCCAAGTTTTCAGTCTCCTGGTTGTTGTCAAATCAGTGGATCCCCAGGCTCGGGAGCTTTCCAAGGCTGGTGAAGCAGGAATTAGGGATTCATTGCCAAAAACTTTTGGTGCTGTCTTCTCCAAATCACAGTTTAAATTCACGGTTATTTTGCAAGGTTATTAAATAAAGGCGTTTACTGCGGATGACTCTGTAAGGGATCTGTTGTGTTTTGTTTGGTTTTATGTGCTTCTGGTAGGGTCTTTATCTGCATTTCTTCCCACTAAAAATCTTAACGTGTAATACGAAACAAGTTTTGTTGCCCTAGATGTGTGCTGGCCACCCTCAAATTCCCCTGAAGTATATAACACTGAAAGAGCAAAATGAAAAAAAAACCCACAAATTTATTAGTGGCTTGTCCTGCCAGAGGCTGGCAACGTCCTCCCTGCTCGGCCAGGGATGTAAATACGGCAGTGTTCCTGCGTATTGGCCCGGACATGATAAAATGTCTCTTGTCCCCGGCCGCTGCCTGTGCCTTGCGCAGGCAGGAGCTCCGCCACTGAGTGGGGAGATGGCCAAGGGGACACCCAAGTGAGAAGGAGCACCAAATCGCTGCAGGACGAGGAATTTTGGGGGGGTCTATCTTGCTTCTTTTACATCTCGGATGCCATCCTTGGGAGGCTGGAGTTCCTATTAGAAAACAAATTGAAACAACCCCCAGAAATGCTGTGTTGCTATCCAAACAAAATACTTCTCTTTGCAAAATCTTGATGAAGTCCACACATTCCCTTGGAAAGATTTTATTTCAGCTTAGTTTAATTTTCCAAATTAAAAGAAGACTAGGAAATTTTCAAGTATTTTAAACAGCTGCAGCAATTGCCACATTTAGGCAAAATTTGGTTCACTTTAGCTGTGTAGATCTCAGGTCTCTAACCCTTCCAGCCCAGGTCCCTCTGTATTCAGTGGAGAGAAAGAGAGGCGTCCCCAGAGAGGCATTTAGCCCATCTTTGGGGACAGACTCCCCATGGGTGCCTGTCTGTCCTACCAGGAGAACTTGAGATGAATCCTGCCTGGGATGTCCTTCATGCTCATGAGGAACAGGAAGCCAAGGGGGGTTTGTAGGTGCTCTCTCAAGTAACTCGGATACATAGTCAAGATACCCTCAGAGAAGGAGACCTCTAGAATGATGTTTTATGGGATTGGTTTCTTGGCATAGGTTAGGATGGTAGGAATAGATTGAGAAATGGGACCCACCTCGTGTGTAAAAGCGTAGGTCCTGGAGTGGGCCTCCTTCTCTTGAGCAAAGAAGTTGCTTGCACCTACAACAAAGACAAGAAGTGGATGCCCCAACCCAGAAACAGTCAGGAAGACCAGGAGAGAACAAGGAAACACAGGGATAATCCTGGAAATTGGGATTATCCCAAATTGGGGCAGCGAGCCCTTGGGTACCCCTTCTTGAGCCCCATCGTTCCTGCAGCGGCATCTACGGCCTGTGTCCTCCACCCAGCAGAAAGGAGCCCCCACACTCAGTGAGGGCCGTGTTGTCCATCGCCCTGGTCTCTCCTCCCTGAAAACGGCCAGATCGGCCTTCAGAAGTTTCCTCACGATTGTTCATTATGGAATAAACTGCCTCAAACCTTGTTAGTCAGTGGCTTTTATAAGCACAAAAATACGAAGACTTTGATTTTTCCCTACCTTTGTCCTGGTGGCTGCGGCTCTGGGTGTCCTCTCTTTCATTAAAGATGCTTAACCTCCCCCGTGCTTTGATTCTTGCTGTATTTTATCGCTACAGTACTTTGCAGCAAGCAGTTCTGCAGATTAATTAAGGCTTGAGTTACTGATTTTTTTTTTAAAGCAATGCAAATAATTGTCTGTTGCTTTAGATTTGCGTGATGTGAAAGGGGAAACGAAAGCCCTGGTCAATCTTCTTTGTGCCAGCCAGCCTTTTGTTCACTCCCCCGACGCTCCCTTCTGAAGTGCAATCCTAATCTTTACTGACTTGCTTTCTCTAAAAAAATGCTCTGATCATTTTTGTCCCTCCTCGCCAGATCTTTTTGTTACGCAGCTTAAGGCTCAAGCAAGAAAGCAACCACAGCCGTCTTGACAT